AAAAAAAAAAAAAAAAAAAAAAAAAAAAATCAATGGATTCTCATTTAAGTCAAAGCCTGAAGGATTCCTGTTCTCATTGCCTTCCTTTGCTCTTGAATGGGGGTGGCAAATATGCGGCATGCCTATCGCCCCTCCCCGACCCTCTCCACCTCTTTCCATAAACTCTGCCCCATTTAACTTAGACACAGGTTCAGGATCCTTCTCAACACTCCAGTGAGGCACAACCAATCTACTCAGGTTGGCACATGAGATTACACTGATTTAACATCTACTCTAAAACTAATACCAAAGGGTATTAACATATGGACGGGTCAGAAAAAAACAGGGGCATCCCCACACTACTAAAACGCAGCACCGTGAGATGAGATTGCTTTACGGGCAGGGGGAGAAAAGATGGAGAGAAGGTGAAAGGACACTCAAATCCATACGGCTTGAGTTTCAAAATGGAAAGAACACATGCTAGTAAGTGAATGCTACAGCGGCTTGTAACATGGGATTTCTTCAGGGAGCTGTGGGGCTTTTTTCCTCCTTAGAGCTGTAGTCTTTAAGAGTATATGAGATGCTTCCTGTTATATAACTATTCCTAATGTTTTTTCTTACTTTATTGGAAACTCTCCAAATTTGGGGTATTTATTTCAGTATTTATGGTATCAGATTCTTCTAACACATCAGATAGTCCCTGGGATGAAATGTCATTCATACCAAGGAGCCACAAACCCTTTTACCAAATCCTCCAACTGGCATTTCTTAGCCTCATCTCTCAGTCTTTTTTTTTTTTAATTTTTCTTAATGTTTATTTATTTGGAAGGGGCAGAGACAGGGAGACACAGAATCCGAAGCAGGCTCCAAGCTCCGAGCTGTCAGCACAGAGCCTGACACTGGGCTCTAACCCACGAATCCCAAGATCATGACCTGAGCTGAAGTCAGATGCTTAACCGACTGAGCCACCCAGGTGCCCCTGTCAGTTTGTTTTATTCCTCCCTCCCTCTCTCCCTTCTTCCTCCTCTCCCTCCTTCTGTCCTTTTGCTACTTCCATGAATGTATATTGAATACCTCCTATATTTCAGAAACTGCCAGGCACCACGGTGACAAAGATGAACACATACTGTCTCTGCCCTCAAAGAGGCTAGGATTCTGCTTGGGCATGTGCTGGGGAGATGTGTCCCTGAGACTCTCCTGCTTCTGTGGACCGGCAGAGCTGGACTAAAGAGGACATATCTGTTGGGCTGCCTGGGGCTTGGCCAGCATCCTCTGAAAACAGCAGGGCTCCCATCAGATGGAATGACATACAATTTCTTTTTCTGCACTCCATTGAGAACAGAGGTAAATAACAAATGCAGCTGGCAGTGGCGATTTACTTAGAAAAATGACAACTTTATGGACAAGTTCTGAAGTCTAAATAGACGACACTTAGACCTAGAATGCATGCAATTAATGTTTGTTTAACTAAGCTACGAGGAGTAAGGTAATTGAGGGCAAGGTCTTATTCAGCTGGATAGAGCCTGGTACAGTGAGGTCTATCAAGGAACTAGAGGTGGCAATGGGGAAAGTGCCAGGTGACACCAAAAGCAGGGAAGAAAAGCAGTAAAGTTGAAGAGACAGAAGCTGGAGGGCACCTCTGCAGTCTCGGGTGGCTTAGGACTGC